TTAATTCCAGAGTTCCAAGTTCCAGGCCAGCCTCAGCAACTGAGACCCTGTCTCAAGAAATAAAAAAGGAGCTAGGAGTGGTCATGCACACCTGTAATCCTGGCAACTCAGGAGGCTGAGGTGGGAGGATCACAAGTTTGAGGCTATCCTCAGCAAATTAGCAAGACCATGTCTCAAAAATTAAAAAATAAAAAACTTATCATGAGCCAATTTTAAAAACTAAAAATTTAAAAATCTTTAAAAGGCATACACACAACCCTCAAATGACTCCAGCTGCCTTCCTGGTGCCCAAGCTCTCCACAGCCTGGTGCTTTGGTTTGAATGTGCCCCCAAATATTCAAGGGTTGCAAGTTCAATCCTAAAAGTCATATTAATGGTATTTGGATTGGGGCCTTTGGAAGGTAATTAGAATTAGATGAGGTCATGAGGGTGGGGTTCCCATGAGGGCATCAGTGGCCTATAGTCCTGGCCCTCACCCTATGATGACCTCTCACAGGTTATCCTGTAGCAAGAAGGCTCTCACCACGTGGTCAGGATCTTACACTTCCCAGCTTCCTGAACTGTGAGCTCAGGAAACCTCTGTTCTCTATAACTGCCTGGTCTGTGGTACCTCATAATAGTAACAGAAAACAGACTAAGACACCTGGGAAAGTAGGCCTCTGACTGCCACCCCACTCACTCCCACCAACCAGTGTTCTACAGGCCCCGAGGGTCTCTCTGCCTGCTGGATCCCTCCTCCCCCTTTTTTAAAAATATATATTTCTTTTTTTAGTTGTAGTTGGACACAATATCTTCATTTACTTATTCTTATGTGGTGCTGTGGATGGAACCCAGGGCCTCACCCGTGCTAGGGGAGCGCTCTACCGCTGAGCCACAACCTCAGCCCCCCTCCTCCCCGTTTAAGGTCCAGCCTCAGAGGCATCAGGGTTCCTCAGCCTCACGTTACTGACATTTTGGGATGGATGATTCTTTTTTGGGTGGTGGTGGTAGGGCCGCCCTATGCACTGTAGAGGCACCCTAGGCTCTGTCAGCTAGATGCTAGTGGCACCCCCTCTGCAGTTGTGACAAACAAAAAAGATGTCCCCTAAGAGGCAAAATAAGCCTCATTTGAGAGCATCAGGTTATACTCGCTGACTGGTCTCGGGCTCCACTCTGTTCTTACAGCCACTGGGACATTTATCACCAAACTGTATTTGGTTCTTTCTGCCCCTGCTGCCCACCAGGGCTGAGTACCGACACCTTGGGGGCAAGTGTTTTGAGTGGTAAAATCATTCAAACCCCCTCCTGTCCCACCCGCTTACTTTATGCGTGACCTTGGGCCAATTACCTGGCTTCTCTGAGCCTCTTTCCCCTTCAGTAAAGAGGAAAGGGGGGGGCTGTGTGTTGGGGGGTGCTGTGTGCTGAGCACCAGACCTGTCCACAGCCCAGCCACAGCAAGAGGTGAGCAGGCGCAGCTCCCGGGATTGACACATTCCCTCAAGTATGATCAGAAGAGAATGCCCGGGGTGCAGGGGGCACTGGAAGCACCACGTCTCCCACGTTCATGCTTCAAGGAAGGAGGGTCAGCAAAGGCTCCAGAGGGGCCGTGACACCTGATGCAGGCCTGACAGAGGAAGAAGTGCGCTCCAGGCAGCCAGCGCCCAGCTCGCCGGAAGGGATTCTGAAGTTTACAAATGCCAAGGCCACGGGGCACTGGGTTTGGGAACCAGCCAGGGGCTGCGGACCCCCCACCCCCAGGCTCTCCTCCACATCTGCACGCTCCCCCACACCAAGTGCCTCCCATTCGGTGGTCTGAACAACCTTTAATAGAACTGTCCTGTTTCTGATTGCCCCTCTCTCCAGAGGCAGCGGGACAGGGTGGCCCAGTGCAGTGCGGACATGTCACTCCCCTCCCCCCAGCAGGATCAAGTAGAGGATGTGGCTGCGGCGGCATTGATGTCTCTTCTGTTCCCTGAGAGGTTTTCTGAGTTGCTCTCTCCAGGGGACAAAGCTGTGCTCTCAAGACAAGAGCCAGGAGGAAGGGGCTTCAGAGGACCCAGGCCCAGGGTAGGATCCTGGGTCTGTTCTGGTCTCTGAGACGCCGCAGAGCTTTAAGTAGAGTGCGCAGAGCTGCAGTCCACCTGAGGCGCTCTGGGGGCGGCTTCTCCAGCTGGAGTCTCTGAGCAGCGGGTGGCCCTGCTCCGCTCAAGTCCCGCCCCGGGAAAGCCTGGAGGAGGAGGGGCGGGCTCAGCAGGGAGGATGAGTCACAAAACAGGAAGCAATCCGTGTCTCCTGGGGCTGGACTGCAGGCCTCAGAAAGCCCCGCCCCAGGGGTGCTGTGTCGCGGGCTGGCGCTCTAGATCTCTCGGGCTGGCCACTGGCGACCGGCCATTCCAAGAGCAACAGGAGGTCAAGAGCCTGGAGGCTGAACCGGGTTCCTGGGGACCCCAAGGCCCCAGGGGCTGCTGGGCAGTGGTTGTCAGCAAGGAGGAACAGTCGGAGGGAGCCAGGATTGGCCAGTTAGGGGTCCACGAAGGAGACGGCGATATACCGGGTGCCCTTGGTGGTGGGGAGCCCCTCGTGGTAGTGCGTGAGCCGCCCGGGGTGCATCAGGGTCCAGCCCTTCCTGGGGGCCCGGATGGAGCAGTTGTAGCGCAGGAAGCGACAGCCCCCTCCCTGGGAGAGAGAAGTGTCAGTGCCCAGGGCAGAGCTGGCCCCCACACCCCCAAGCCAACCGTTTTCCTATTCTCTTCTGTCCCACTGACTGCCACAGCCAAGGGGCCCTGAGCACAGCCAGCCTGGGGATGTCCTGTGGAGTGACAGACAGACACTAGCTGCCTAAGGAAGACACAGGGCAAAGACACAGGTGGAGGGCTCTGGCTTCAGAGTCAGGCGGCCCTGGGCGACTGTCCTCCACCCTTCCCTAACTCTGGGCTCAGTGGGAATCCCGCCTGTCAAGTGGGAGCGAAGCTGCCCTGGCTGTGAGAAGTCACAGAGGAGGCAGAGTGTCGGCCGAGGTTCCAACCTTGTCACTACCGACAGGGGGGCTGTCCTGGGCGCCGCTGGCCACTACCCAGTGGATGCCAGAGCACCTCACAGTTGTGACAACACAAAATGTCTCTAGGCACTGCTAATGGCTCCAGCACG